ACCCAGTACCAACTACAATGGCTGACTGAGTGTATAGGATGATAATAAGGAAATTAACACCTTGAAACGTTTTCTTTCATTCTGTGCAGCAATACATAGAGTGCACTAAAGATCTTTATCATGCAGAATTGGAAAGAGTTGACTTTGTGAATGCTGTTGAGGAAGTTAGAAAGAAAATTAATTCCTGGGTTGAAAGCCAAACGAATGGTAAGAAGGCAGAGGTTTCTGCTTGTTTTAGTCTCTTGTTCATTCTTAAATGTGCTTAAATGTGTTTGGATTACATTGTAGAAAGAAGTGTATTGTTGATAAACGTGTGCCATCTACCGATAACATTTTTAATGGTATTACTTTTTAAAAAGGTAAAATCAAGGATCTGCTTCCTGTTGGCTTGCTTGGAAAAAGTACTGCATTGGTCTTGGTAAATGCTATATATTTCAAAGGAAAGTGGAGGACGCAATTTGATTCCAAGGATACGCATGAAGCAGACTTTTGGACCAGTAAGGTATAATACCTGAAAAACCCATGAGAATGGAAATGTATCAATTGCTGCACAATTGAATTAAACAACTAAAAATAACCATGTTGTTGAACATCATGGAAACATAACATCCTTGTTTATACAATGAGCTTCGGCCTGCACCAATAGAGCCTGAAATGGAAATCTGATATTGTAGCTGCTGATTCCAATCAATATTTCATGTTATGATTTCTCATATTATTAAAGCTTTATGTTAAAGTGTTACTTTATTTGTTATAGGAGCACAGCAAAAAAGTGCAAATGATGGCTCAAGAGGGGAAATTTAACTATGCTAAAATAACAAGCCCACCAATGGAAGTGCTTGAGCTTCCCTATGATAATAAGGGAGACCTAAGCATGTTCATCTTTCTGCCGGACAAGAATGGGAGCACAAAAGAGGTAATTTGAGTTCCGAAATCATTCAGAAATAGATGTAAATGAACTTGATATGTATCTTTTGAATAATTTTATTGGTAAGAAAGGCCTTTTATCACATATTCTTAAGAGGTTCTCAAATCTTAATTATGATTTCCCTCTATTTTTCCTCATTCATTTCTTATTTTCATACAGAAATGCACACACACACATATGCACACACAACTTCCCACTGAGATATATTGGGGTGAGTGTGATCATTGAACTCTCCAGTTCTCTCCAGTCCCAGTCGACTATTCTTCCATTGCTTTTCCATATCAGGAAGACCTAGCCATTAATACTGGCACCATTTTGGACCTAGAGAGCAGAAACAGGCTTATTTATGACCAATTTTCATTGCTGGATAATTTTCTGAGGGTAGAAGTGGATATTGAAGAAAGTTTTTCAAGTATTTAGTTCAGTGTTTTAAAAGTCAGTTGTTTACTAGCTATGTTTGCTTATCATGCAACAGTCCTTTATCATCGTCTTCATGTCCCTTCCTTCTGCCTCCAAACGAGGATTTTTGAAATATTTCCTTCTGCCTTTGACTAGTTAGAATTTGTCATCCAAAGCTAGACTTATAGTTAATTCTGTTACATTTGGCTTAAAGAAAGCTATTCAGGAACTATGCACAGAGATGAGTTTCCTGAATGCCAACAGCGTTAATATTCAGAACTGTTTCCCTGTTCAGATACCATCCGAAGCATTTCCAGGCAAAAGTCAACACACACATTTTCAAATTTCAGCTATTGACCCCAGAAGAAGGCTGTGAGCCTATGGCTTCCAACACTTCATATTTTCTTCTTGTCTTTCTCCATCAGAAATATGGGGGGGAAAAACCCACCCAAAACAGTCCATATTTTGAATGCAGTTTTTGTTTTTAAAAAACCACTCTGTGACTATGATTATGAAGAAATCATGCTATAATGGGAAGTAACAGGAAGTCATCTTTTAGTCTTTCTTGATCCCTTTTTCCAAATAATTTTTGTCACTCTCACAATGGCTCCCCTTTACCTGACAGATTGTGAGGCAACTCACTTATGAAAAATTTCAAGACTGGACCAGTTCAACAAACATGAAGAACACAGAGATCAAGATTTTCCTGCCAAAATTCAAGATGGAAGGAGAATATTCGCTCGTTCCTACTTTAGGTAAAATGGGAATGAAGGATGTGTTTAATCCAGGCAAAGCTGATTTATCTGGCATGTCTGGGGATCGGAACCTGGTTGTATCTCAGGTTCGTCATAAAGCCTATATTGAAGTGAACGAGGAAGGTACCGAAGCAGCTGCTGCTACTGGTGTAGTTGTAGTTCCTACAAGTGCTGCAAGTATGCCTCAGTTTAAGGCAAATCGACCTTTCTTGCTTGTTCTAATAGATACTCGCACCATGACCATTCTTTTTGCCGGCAAATTTTCCTCACCGTAAATACCAGGTGCTGCAACATTAAAAAAAAATATTTCCATCTGTTGTAAGCAACCAAGACTTCTGCATTCCAAATTATGTTCTCAACTTGGCTAACAAGTCATTTCCTCTCTTAAGAAAGAGCAAATTGTGAGGTACAGGTTTTATTTGCTTACTGAGCTAAAATCTCCTTTACACTGATATGTGTGTGGAATCCAAAGTATACAAACCTGTATGTTCCTTGTGACACAGGGCCCTTATCTATAGAGAGCCTGACATACAGGAAGAAAAGGTAATGGAGAGAGGGGGACTCCTAAAACCAACTCCCACAAATTAAGCCTCCAGCAGAGAACCTTACAGCCAGTGGTGGGATTCAGCCAGTTCACACTGCTTCGGGAGAACCGGTTGTTAAATTTCTGAGCAGTTTAGTGAACTGGTTGTTGGAAGAAATCATTAGGGCAGAGAATCGGTTGTTAAATTATTTAAATCCCACCACTGCTTACAACCTTATCAACCTGACATTGAAAATGTGCATTTAAAAAAAAAAATAGAAATATCCCATATAAAGTTTGAAATCTCATAAAACAGGCCTAGATCTCATCAATGTCCCAATAGTTAATTAGCTAATATTGATATATATATATACAATAGACATGTGATGGAATAAATGTGAGATATACATTCTGTTAAATAAAAACAGAAGAAACCAATGATTTCAATTGAAGAGTGCAGTAAAACCCACTGCTAACCTTGTTGTTTCTGAATGTATAAGCTTCCGTGGATGGCTTGTTTAAGGTACTTTCTGATTTCTGATTATGAAATTTAAACTTGAGTATATAGTAAACTGCTTTGTCTTCCGTTCATAGCTAAAAATCAATAGAGAGACATTTTGGCTTGCCTGTCACTTAGCATGACTACTGATGTTTCAAGTTAGTTTTATTCTGATTCTGTCCTCTGTCTGGGCTGAAGATATTTGTGATCTCTTGAGTATAAAACTGCAATAATATCTGAATAAACATATATAGTACATCAAATAGTCTCAGACTTATTTGTTATTCTTATTTATTTCTGCACTTTCAAAACTCTTCTAAAGAAGCAACCTTGTTCCCCAATCTAGGTCTTGCCTATTTGGCATCTCACCCTCCCACTTCCCATTAGACTTGCTCAAAATACTGTAGGCACCAACATCTACAATCTGAGCAGAACAGTAGCAGACAGAGGACAATGATAACAGATAACATATAATCAGAGTTGGAAGGGACCTTGTAGGTCATCTAGTCTAACCCTCCGCCCAAGTGGAATGAAACAAAGAACTTCCATATATTGTTGAATCACAATTTCTACTGTCCTTTGCATTGTCTGTACAGGTAGTCCTTGACTTATGACTGCAATTGGGACTGGGAATTCAATGCAGTTGTAAAGTGTGACCTTACGTGATTGTATGACTTGGTGACCCCAATTCTGGCATCTATGGTTGCTATTGTAAGATGCATAGGTCATTTAATGGGAAGCAGAGGGAGTCCCACATAAGGAGCACGGGGTTCCCATAGCAGGTGGGGTAGGCCCAGCACGGACCAGGTGTGAGTTTTGAGTGTGCTGCAGGGAGACCAGGGAAAGAATACTCTGTGATTCAGGCTTCTTGGTGCGCTGCAGCTCTGGGACTATTTCACAAAAAGAACACACACACACACAAAAGAAGCTTGTGTAAATGAGCACATTCATAAAATGAATGGTAACATTCTCCCTGGGTTACCCCTTCCTTGTTGAAAATGGATCTTAGAATTTAGAAGCCAGGGCCTGTGCAGAACCATGGACAGTTTGATATGCTTGAAAAATGTCTCTCTGGCTTTGAGAAAGGAAAGCCAGTGCCACTTAATGTCTGAAGCAAAGTCTCAGCCCTCTCGCTCAAAAAGTATACACCATCAGAGTCAAATGTACTAAACCAGGGGTCTTCAAACTTGACAGCTTTATGACTTGTGGACTTCAACTCCCAGAATTCCTCCTCCAGTCTAGTTAGCTCAGGAATTCTGGGAGTTGAAGTCCACAAGTCTTAAACTTGTCAAGTTTGAAGACCCTTGTACTAAACTGAGATAACTGAGTAAAGAGAAGTTTAGATGATCTGGTGATGCAGAAACTTTTAGTAAAAGACATAATAAATATACCAACAATTCCACAAAGGACTACTCTCTTCCTATAACTAGATATCAGTTGAAACTGTAGAAGTACAGCTGGTGCAGCGTGGACATGAAATGGGAGTTGTGGTCAATGATATCACTCTTGTAACATCTTTATAGGCTTACCATTAATTTCCTTCCTCAGTTCTAAATGTACCTATAGAACCAT